TTTATCGATTGATTGGATCAATTTTGTAATAGAAACAGCACATCTCAACTTTTCATATGGTTGGACAAGCATTTTTTTTTTGCTATGGCAACGCTATGTTACCTCTATCAGTCAGCGTAATCCTATCAGTCGTACATTTTCAATTGATCCACGTTTATTATACGTGTAAATCAAGTATTATCTACCAAAGAACTGAGGTTTCATATCAACACACCAGCTGAATTTAGACGTATTCTTTTACTTATTTGATTTCATACACAAACAATGTTCTCAACAACGCGAGACAAGGTCGATTGATATACTAATCAGTTTATGAATAATAATACACAAGTAATACTCAATTTTTCTTTCTTGAGAGTAATTATATGATTTCTCTGTTAAATACAAGAAAAACCGACAAGACTACCATTTGTCCTATAATATTTTTCGAAGTGGGTGTGGATGTTCATATCATCTGCAACTACACTCACACCCATATTTGTTGGTTAAAATTCACTTAATTAATGGCCAAACGGGCTACAAACAGCGTGAAGAACAGTCACGTGAAGTTGAATATCAACAAAAAAATGCTTTAGTGGTCAAAGTACAGTTCAAACATGTAATGGAAAAGATATTTCCCTTTCGAATGTACAAATTAGAGAAGAAATTCTAGTATATGATGGAGATAAACTAATCTTTAAACCGATTTGTGATATAATTCATAGTGAAAAAACCAAATTGTACAAATTTATTCATCTAACTGTATTTAATCATTATCAGAACTCGACACATTCAACTGGAATTTCATTAAAACATCTTATTTTTAAGTATGAAACAAAATTTAAATATTAAATATTCAGTAATGAAATTTTATTTTAAACATATTTATTTTTTATTATTTTATGATAAAAAAAGAAAAAGTTTGTTTTGTTTGCTTGAATAATTCTTAATTCTATTATCATTTAATATGAATCTCTAAAATATTATAGAAAAACTAGTGAGAAACAAAATTATATCAATTTATTTTTCTATTTCTATGGAACGTCAGTCGAATATTTATCTTTATTAGGGAATCATAAATAGTAATTGATATGTAGTCTCTACGAATAATACGAACACCTTCAAAATGGAAACTACTGTCCGAAATAGATCGATTCGATGAGTTCATTTAATGAACATTCTTCTCGCGAGCAGTACAAATTGGAGCTTTTAACTGAAATAGACTTCAACAAGACACAAGTGGCTAGAATTCTTGATTTCAATATGCTTTCAATTCGAATCGATGTCACTTGTAAGATGAAGTTTGAATTATTCCTATTCTTCTATAGAAATTCATCGTACGATAGTGGAACATCTTGTAAGCAAGATCTTAGGTATAGATCCGTAAGATCTGGGTACATACTAAGATAAAAAGTGTTGCATGTATCGAATTTGCAACACAATCTGAAAGCGTGGCTCAAACCTATCACACAGTGTATTTATTATTCTTTTTCTGTAAAAGCATGTTATGAAATTTTTTCAATTTATCTTCATTTTAATTATTCCTATTCCGAATAACTGAAGCAAGCCCAACCTCAGAACTTGCCTGTTCTAGAGATCGTTCGATCTCCGTCATACGGCTTCAGGTAGTCCTCTCTCGATCAGTGATCGAGGTCAGCAATTTCTCGAATGATTAATAGTCGAGAAAGAGTTTAGAAAAGAAAATTATTTCGAAAAGTGTATGTTTCGTATGTTCAATCATGTTGTTTATATACGGCTCTGTATGCATAAAAAAAAACTCGGTGAATGACTAGCCAGTATGTAACCAATACAATAATGATGTCGATTTTTATTTTTTTTTCAAGATCTTGTGAAAAGATAATAGTGAATGATATAATTTCCATGATCTTAACAAGATCTTGCTTATAAGATGTTCGACTAGGGTGATACTCTAATGATTTTTGAATTAAAATGGAACCAGTGATCTATGATTTTTCTTTTTTTGTCTAATACGAGAATAAATATACATAACATACAAAGTAATTCAGAATTTTGATGTAATAGTTTGGGCATTTCAATATCATCACCACCAATTTTTTTGATTCCATTCATTAAATATTCCAAATATTCAAACATATTACTTTGCTAGAAAAAAACAACAGAAAATAATGATTTATATGATCTCAAATAGATTCTACTTGATTTTGTATTATTTGAACTTGATTTTCAAGTGTTTTAATTTTATTTATAAGAATTTCTTGTGAAGAATGTCTAAAGAAAATCTTCTTTTCTTTTTTTTTTTTTTTTTTATTAAATAAATCAATACATACACTCGTTCTTCATTTAAATCAGTTGATTGATTAATTTGTTTTCGATCAGTTTTTAATGAAAGAAAATAAACTTCATTTCCTAAAGCATCTTCAATAGATTCAATTGTTTTCGTTAACCTTTCATCAGCAATTATTTCTATAAAAAAAAACAAAGGTCAATTAAAACATTTTTATTTTTATTAAAATTTACTAAATTTCGATCGATTCGTATGTTGAATATATTTTTGATAAAACCATTCGATTTTAAATTTATGTGAAAAAATATAGATCATTACACGATAAATATGTGAAAATATAATTAATGGTGGAGGAAGTGATGGAAGAGTTAAATGATAACATACATATGAATAATGTTGAAATTTCCATATACAATCTGTATCTAATTGTAAACGATCAAATGTATTACTTAAAAAAAAAGATAAATAATATAAAATTTCAAAATATTAGATAAAGATAAAAGTAATACCTGAACATAGCGATAAGAAGATTAATTAAAAGAACACTTGCTACTGTCATATAAGCAATTAATAATATAAATACAACATAACCAGTTATTTCATAGTTTTCTGAAAAAAAAAAATTAAGATCAAATTTCAATAGAAAGTCTTAACACTTCAAATTGTAGATCTAGAGGATGATATTCCTCTGAAAGAGAAAGTCTAATGTGTGACTCACTTTCAATATCGTCTAGAACTTCTAATTCACCAAACATTTGCCAATAAGCTAAATTTAAAATAGCACGTGGAATATGCCAAGAAAATTTTTGAACACCATAGAGTAAACTATATGTAGGTACACCATATGCTAATATGAATATAGTTAACATTAACATGTAAAATTTTAAATCATGAACCTTATT